ATTTTTTCATTTATCTATCAATGACATGGTTCTCCCTGTTCTCCCTCCCTCCCTGTCCCCATCCTGTCACCCCACCCCTGGACCATCTCTGGTACCTGCAGTTGCCCTCCCTGCTATGAATCTTTCAGATTCTGCTAATTCTGTTCTTTCATAAGTAAAAACTCAACTTTTGGTTTCATTAGATCTTTTTGGTCCAGCCCCTGGCCTAGTGTTTAAGGCAGCTGGATCTCACACAGCTGACCAGGAGGCTTGAAAAATATGCCCAGAGCGAGACGGAGAGAAGACCAGTGCGTGACCATGCCCCACGGGATCCTTTCCATTCTCTCCCACCTACCACACGCACACGCCACTTGGCAAAATTTTCAAAGGAAAAAAAAAACTCATAGATCTTTCGTATTTGCTCATTCACTTCTGCCGTCATCCTTCGCTCTGCCTTTCCTTCTAAATTTGGCGTGTGCTTCCTTTGCCAGCTCTTTGCGGTGCACTGTTAGGTTATCTGAAAGCTTCTACTTCTTAGAGGAAGGCGTTTATTGCTCTAAACTTCTTCTTCGCACGGTGTTTGCTGTATCCCAGAAGTTTCCCTGTGTTGTGTTCTCATTTTCATTTGTTTTGAGAAATATTTAAATGTCCTGCTTAAGCCCTTCCTTGGCCCAGAGGTCCAGGAGCATGTTTAATCCCATGAATCTTTACAGTTTCGTAAGTCCCTCTTTCTACTTATTTCTATTTTGATCCACTGTGGTCAGAAAGGGTACTTGACACAGATTTTTAAATTTTTGTTGAGGCTTATTTTGTAGCCTTACGTATAATCTATCCTAGAGAATGTTCCAGGGTGCTGATGAGCATGTATCGTGCATCTGCTGAATGAAATGTTTTATAAATGCCAAATGCAGTCCATTTGGTTTACAGTGCAATCTAACTCAGATTCTTAATTCTCTGTTTAGCCAGAGGGGACGATGCACTTGCAGGAGACAGAGAGGAAAAATAAGAAAGCATGCCCCGCAGGGGAATGATCACTCTGTAATCCCCTCTCCCTCTCCCCTCCTTTGGGGCATGCATACACACAGGCTAGCATGTTTCTCAGGCCTCCGGGTCTGAGGCTTGAACCATATGGTTAGCCATATAGGATCCTGCCGCCTTAACCAAAACCTGGTGAATTTCCAAGTGGGATTTAACTACACGGCTTCTCTCCAGCTTTAACAAACGTCAGTTTCTTACTGCTAGCACTCATTTTAAATTCAAATGCTCCATGCTCTGCCTGTTAAGTGAGGCTTTCTTTCTAAAATCCAAGTGACAGTTCTATAAATATGAATTAAATGTTTGTTCCCATACAAGTCCCCATTTATGGACTTTCATTCCATTAAACTAGTCTGGGGCCGGCTGCACGAGGCCCGGCACCAAGGAGGGTGCACACCTGGGCGTGCATGCTCTGCTCTTGTTGTCAGGAAGGTCCTGCCGTCTGTCCCCCAGGGGCCTCACAGTCTCATCCTGCTCTGGGCCCTGCAAATTCCATAGTCGTCCTGCACTAGTCCTTCAGTTGTCATGCCAAAGAATAATAATAAGGGTCAGTCCTGTGGACTGGTGGTTAAAGGAGTCAGATCCCATATGGCTGACTGCACGGTTCAAATCCCAGTCCCAGTGGCTGAAACAACACACTGGATGCTTGTCCATGTATGCCCAGAATCTCAACAGGATGGAGAGGAGACTGCAACGTGACATGCCCCATCTCCCTCCTTCTGCCCACCTCCCTCCTTCCCTTGCTCCCTTCCTCTATCTTTCTCTCCCTCCCATGGTGCTGTTTCGCACCCTGTGTTCCAGTGTGGCAGCAGGGATTGGAAAGCAAGCCCTGGTCCACTGTGTTATCGACCTGTGCCTGCGTGCTGTGGGCCGGGCTAGAAATCAGAGTGATCGGGATCAGTAGTTGGCGTAACGGCTATGTCGCTGGAGTCCCATGTAGTCAACCGCTATTCGAGTCCCGGACCCGGTGGCTTAAACTCAAACCAGGCGCATGTGCGTGCGTGCCCAAGATCCCAGGAGGAGAATGGAGGAGAAGGGATTGCGGTGTGGCCATCCCCCCTGGGGAGTGATTTCTCGCTTTCTGTCTCTCTGTCTCTCTCTGTCTTTCTGGCAAGCACCCTATAACAAAAACCTCTCAAA